CTAAATAATTATTTGGATTGATTTCTGATATACGAGGGTAATTCTTAATAATTTCATAGTCGCAGTTTGCTAACATGTCGGATTCACATGAAGAATCGATTAGTTTTGTGCAAATGCTTTCTTTATTACTTAAATCTATAATATCTTTGCAATAAAATTCTTTTTCAAAGTACAAAATATTCTTACTTGGTAACTTAACTAGATGATTCTTAACGATTATTGGATAAGCATTGAAAAGTGTGAACTTTCTAATATCTAGTATCGGAATGTGAATTACAAAGGTAATTTCATTTTGAGTAGATACGATAGATAATTTACATAAATCGTAAATTTCGTATAAATGTAGAGTTTTATCAAGGTAATTAGAAAATCTTTCTAGATTCGTTAATAATGATATTTGATGTATAATTTTATGAGATAGATAGGTTTGGAAGATTGAACGTTGATAATATCGTGAAACATCGTATTTGCTAAATCACTAATACTAATGAAAAAGTAGCTCTTATGATAGAAATCAACATTTCTACTCTGACCTTTAGATATTTTAAGTATTGGGTGCAGATTGACTGGGTTCTTCATGATCAGACTCTGGCATCTGAAAACGAGGTGGTTTTACTTTCTTAGTCATATGAGTTCTATCTTTAACTAGGATTTTAGAATCATTTTGGTTTGTTAGTTTTAAGTATTTTTGCTTATGTTTCGGTCGTCGTGAAGGGTCTTGGGGCGTCATATAAATGGAGCCTTTTAGTATTGGTAATCTTGATATTTTTAGCTGTTTATATCGTTTTTCAATAGTTTGTAATGATTTTTCGTAAATTTGATTTGCATCTTGTTTTTGTTGGATTTCATTATGAATTTGTATGGGTTCTTTCATCCCATATAATAAATCAAAAGGTGTCTTTTGCGTAGTCGAATGTATGGATTGATTATAAATTAAAATACAGTCTAGAATTATGTCGTCAGTTGAGTCGGTGGATCGATCAGTTCGAAGGTTTCTAAATTTTTCTCCTAATGTAGAATGAAAACGTTCAATTGGGGCAATGCTAGTTGGATTAGCTGTACTTCCTAAGTGTAATTCAATATTATGGTTTTTGCAATAGTCAATTATTAATTGAGCTCGCAATTCTCCAGGATCGGCATGAATATACGTTGGATTACTATGGTGTGAAAAATAATGTTTCATTTTATTTAAAACGTCTACGTGATTTCTAGAAGTTAGTCGATAAGCTTGAGCATATTAAGAGAAATGATCGAGGAACGTTAAGTATTTGATTCCTTCGATAGTAAATACATCTATAAATACTAACTGAAATGGACGCGACGAAAAGAAGGGTCCATGAATGGGTTGTACGATTGGTTTTCGTTCATATTTGTTCGTTAGGCAAGTTTCGCATTTGTTAATAATGTTACGAATAATTTTCTTACTTTTTGGAGAATATAACAATTTTCTAAAGTGTTGATAGGTTTCATTTATACCGTTGTGATTTTGGGCATGATATTGTTAGATTCTATTTCAAATATCTAAACTTTGCTCTCCCTATAACACCGTGCCGCGCTGGGCAGACACTGCCTGACATTGACCGTGGGTGGTCCTAAATTATAAAAATCTAACATCAGGTGTGGGGTGTGGGGTACACGTGTACTTTTCGTAAACGTTTGGTGTTCTGTGAAGTTTTGTGGTTGTGAAAGACATTATGGCAGAAGAGTTGGCAAAATCTCTAGGAGCAATTGCATCGATTTTGGAAAATCTACAGAGGAAGGTGGATGACAATGGAACGCAATCTTCAGCTGCTGTTATCCAAAAACTCCTATTTCTTTGTCCTTGCCCAGTTTTGATCCGGGCTGCACCGATAGCCACGTATGGTTACAAAAAATAGAGGGATATAAAAATGAATTTGGTTGGTCTGACCGGGAAACTGTAAGTAGAATTGGACCTTTTCTATTAAAATCTGCACAAGGGTGGTTTTCTGTATGGCAGCCTACTGAAGAAACATGGGAAAATTTCAAGATTGATTTTTCCGTATCGTTTCCTAAACAGAAAAATCTAGGTAAGCTTCTCAGTGAGGCAGTAGGCTATCATAGCTCAGAGGCCTGTAGTTACGTCGAATATGCTACAGTCAAACTCGACAAGTTGAAACGCACCCGAGCTGGTTGGGTGGATTTGGATTTGATACAGATTATCGCACATTCGATAGATGATGCCTTTGTAAGAACTGCTGCTTATAATTGTGGCGCGTCATCTGTAAGTGATTTGATTGCATTCCTTACTAATTATATAAAAGTTCCATCATTCGATAAAATGTCAACACATCCAAACAGTCAGAGTGATGACCTTCCACGCAAAAACTCCAAATAAATTAGTTGTTATTCCTGTGGCAAAATAGGCCATTTTTCTCGAGGGTGTAAAAGTAAGGCATTTCCAATTCACAGAAACACATATGCAAAAACGTTCTGTCGGTACTGCAAAAAACCGGGCCATGAAATATCTCACTGTTTTCGTCGTCAAGACAAACGTGCTCGAGACAGTGGCGGCGAAACCAGTGTAGATAAGAAATTCAAAGGGGAATAACTTTTCCTTAATTCTCATGGTTCTGAGCTCGGTAGATGTTTGAAGACGTTGCCAATTGTAATATCAGGTTATTGTACAAATTGTTTAGCAGATACTGGTTCGACATGTTCATTAATTAGTGAAACGCTGGTTGAAAAATTGAACCTTGATAAAATACCGCGTATCACAGCGTTACAGTGGTTTGAGGGTATTACTATGAATTCTTATTTTGTTACAAATGCCTTAGTGGGAATTTCTGATGCAAAATTGAAACTTGATTTTGTCGTAGTACCACAAAATCATTCTAAGTATGATGTTGTTATAGGTGAAAACGTCTATGAAAATAACGTAACTTTAATCAAGGATAAAAACGGGCAACAAATTTTTTGTGAACCTATACCCATCAACACCACCTATGATAATCTAGGCCCAGAAGTGGTTACCGATTTGGACTTTCATGATAAAGTAAGGCTACTTGAATCACTTGAAGACTATTCTCAGCTGATGGTATCCAACCTGACCCTAATAAAGCTAAAGCAATCAAAGAAAGTTTAGCCCCCACTAATGTGAAGCAGGTTCGCCAATTTATTGGATTGGCCAGTTATTTCCGAAAATTTATCCCTGGTTTTTCTTCTAGAGTAGCCTGCATAACCAATCTAACCAGGAATAATGTTGACTTTGCTTGGACGTCAGAATGTGAACAGGCAAGGCGATACATTATTGATGTCCTAACAGAAAAACCTCTATTGTCCATATTTGATCCCTCTTTGGAAACACAGTTGCACACAGACGCCAGCAGTATCGGTTTTGGCGGCATTTTGTTACAGAAACATGGGAATACTTTTCGCCCAGTTGAATATTTCAGCCAGAAAACATCCCCCGAGGAAGCTGTTTACCATTCATTTGAACTAGAGACTTTGGCTGTCGTTAGGGCTCTAAAAAAAAAACTTTCGAGTATATTTACTTGGCTTAAAGTTCACTCTTGTTACTGATTGCAATTCCCTTAAGTTGTCTGCAGGTCGGAAGGACCTAAAACCACGTATAGCGCGCTGGTGGGCTTATATGCAAGACTTTGAGTTCGAAATAGTCTACCTAAAAGGTACCGAAATATCTCAGGTTGACTTCCTTAGTAGAAATCCGACCGACACTGTGGTTCAAGTTAATTTAACATCTGATGATTACAAAAACTGGCTTACTTTTGCACAAAGTCGAGACCAGGAGTGTAAACAAATCATTAATTCTTTAAATGATAACGAGGTAGATGTCATCCGAAAATATAAATTCAAAAAAGGTACATTGTTTCGAATTATTTCAACTGAAACCAACAAATCTATAGAATTACTACCATTTGTACCATCTAACAATAGATATAATCTTTTAAAAATATTCCATGATGATCAGTGTCATGTAGGTTGGGAAAAAACACTTAAATCACTAAAACTCTACTTTTGGTTTCCTCATATTGCTCGGTACGTTAAGAAATATGTTGAACATTGTTTACTTTGTGCTGTTCGGAAAAATCGAACTGGCCCAAAGCAAGGCTTCCTCACCTCTGTACCAAAGCCGAACGAACCATTTCATACAATCCATGGTGATTGTCTTGGTCCTTTACCTGGAAATCCAAGCAATTATAAGTACATATTTGTCCTGGTGGATGCCTTCTCAAAATTCTTCCTTCTCTACCCCCAGTCCACTGTTACGTCCGAAGAAACCAGACAAAGCTTTGCCAACTTCATCAGTATATTCGGAACCCTATCAAAACTAATCCACGATGCTGGCGCTAATTTTACCGCTAAAAGTTTCAAAGCATTTACCGAACACTTTGATATCGAGGTTCACGTGACAACCCCTGGTGTACATCGCTCCAACGGCCAAATAGAACGATACATGCGAACCATAACAAACTTGCTGAGAATTGAATCAAAGAAATCGTCAGATTGGCCGAACAAACTTTGGAAAATCCAACTAGTAATGAACACCACAAAATAGAAGACCACTGGCCAATCGAGTGGACTCCTGAGGATTTCCAAAATCTGCTAGATTTAAATGATTGTAAGTGATTCATTTTATTTTGATCAATCTATGCCGTGTTAGATTGTTGCTAGATTGTGTAACAGACCGATCTTATTAATCTATGACCCATCGTAAATATGTGCATATTGCAATATTTCCATCGTGTCATTCTAAGTTCTGATATTAAATGACCCATCGTAAATATGTGCATATTGCAATATTTCCATCGTGTCATTCTGAGTTCTGATATTGAATGATCCATCGTAAATATGTGCATATTGCAATATTTCCATCGTGTCATTCTAAGTCATGATATTAAATGACCCATCGAGAATACGTGCATATAGCAGTATTCCCATCGTGTCATCTGATGAATTCCTGTTATAACAAAAAATTAGTTGTTGGTGTTGAATCAGCAGTATTTTCATCGTGTCATCGAATGAAATCCTGTTACAAAAGACTATTGAGCAGTTACTGACGGAGCAGTCTGAGTAATGCTCTTCTTTTGCTTAATTCAGCAACTACCAGCGAAATACATGTAGACGAGCAAGCTAAATCTCGACTATCAACCTTTAGAAGATGATGTTCAATAATAATCATGGCTTATAAGTACCTACATGCTGAGTAGGCATATATACCATAGCCGTAGTGTTCGCAATTTTGTAACTAGTTATCCATGTACTCCTGTAACTAGTTATCTATGTATTTTTGTAATTAGTTATCCAGGTATTTTCGTAATTTCGTAACTAATTATTCATGTACCTTCTAAATCTCTTTATCGTTAGATAATAAAACTGTTTACTGTTAATTTGCCCAGAATTATTATTGTCATGAGGGCTATACATTCCGAGAGCGGAATGATGTCAGTTTGGCCGTGTTAGATTCTATTTCTATATAAATATCTAAACTTTGCTCTCCCTATAACACCGTTTGGTCGCTCACGCATGTGCGCCCAAGAACGGCGCGGGAGAATACGTACTGCCGCGCTGGGCAGACACTGTCTGACATTGACCGTGAGTGGTCCTAAATTATAAAAATCTAACAATATAGACTTATTTCGTTTTTGTATTCATGCTTGTCTACAAGTCGTGGTAGGAAAGCAGCTTTTTTGAATTGTCTTTGGCGTGACGAGAATTTAGTTAAAATACTAGTAAGGAATGATAGAAAATTTTGATTTTCGTACCAAATTCCATATTTTATACCTGGTTTGCAGTAGTTTTTGATAAAATTGTAAACGTATTGATGTTGTTGGAAATCTGTTATGCTACAGGTTAACTTGTTTTTGTGTTTTGTGATATTATTTTTGGTTTCAATAGTAAATATAATATTATGTGAATAAGAATATAAACTTTTGTGTTCAGAAATTTGTATAACATTTGGGTGCGATTCAGGTGCAGTATGTCTAGCATTTGTCGATCTAGCATCGGTTTCTTGAATCGTAAAATTAGTACCGGATATATTTGGATTCATAGATTCGGAATAGTCGTGATGACGAATATTTATTTCAACACGGCTTAAATCGTCGGCTACAGAATTTTCTTTTCCTTTTTTGTAAACGATTTTATAGTCATATTCTTCTAACTTTACTTTCCATCGAATTAGGCATAGATTTGGTTCCTTTAAGTTTGAAAGCCATACTATGGTTTATGATCAGTTTCAATAGTAAATTGATTTCCAAATAAATATGGTCTAAAGTGTTTGCAAGAGTCGATTATAGATAATAGTTCCTTTTCGATCGTAGAGTAGTTTCGTTCGGCAGTATTTAAGGTACGAGAATGAAATGCAATTGGTTTTCCATCTTGCGATAAATCAGAGCAGATAGCGACATTTGAAGCGTCGGTAGTCAAGGTGAAAGGCTTTTTAAAGTCTGGGTAGATTGAGATTGGTAGATTTGTTGAAATTCGTTTCAGTGAATGAAATGCAGTTAGGTATTCATGCGAATCAAATGGAATCATTTCATTTTTCCTCAAACATTTTGTTAATGGTTTAGTTAGATAGGAAAAATCTTTAATGAATTTTCGATAGTAGTTAGCAAGTCCTAGGAATGATTGAATTTGTTTCACGATTTTAGGTAAAGGATAGTTTTCAATAGCTTTGATTTTGTCAGGATTTGGTTTAATACCTTGGGGTGTAATTATGTGTCCTAAAAATGGAACGTCTTTTAGTAGGAATTCAGTTTTATCGAGCTGGATTTTCAAATGATTCTTTCCTAGTGTTTCAAATATGGTTTTTAGGTGAATTTAATGTTCTTGGAGAGATTTTGAGAATATTATAATATCGTCAAGGTAAACAAAACAAAATTTTCCTATGTATGGGAGTAATACAGAATTCATCATCCGTTGGAAAGTAGCTGGTGCGTTTTTTAATCCGAAAGGCATGCGTATGTATTCATAATGACCATTTTCAACGGTGAATGCTGTCTTTTCTATGGATTGACGATCCATAGATATTTGGTGAAATCCTTGCGCTAAGTCCAGTGTCGAAAAGTATTTTGCTTTTCCTAAGTTCTCTAGGATTTCTTCAGTACGCGGTAATGGGTATTTATCCTCAATAGTAATGTCATAGTTGTCCATGGGTTCAATTTGTAAAGTATTAATATCATATGTCGAAATTTCGTTAGGTAGCATTAGTTTGTCATTAATAATTGGACAAATATATTAAGGTTCATCGTATGGAGTAGAAATTATTACAGAATTATGATTAGTATCAATCTGACATGTATTAAAAGTATCGTTAGGAATTCGCATGGGGTCTTTATGGCTGTGGCAAATTATTTTAACCTTCCAGAACTCGCGCGGGGTATCCAAATACCCCACTAGTAATATCTCTATCTATACTGGAGTGGGGGAAATGACGATCGGCATATAGTTTCGTCTATTTCTCGAGTGTAGTATACGCAGGCTGGTGTTAAGAGTTGGCTGCAGTCGAGATCACGTGGTGCGTAAGCTACGAGTCGAAATTTGATTGGGGTATTTAGATACCCCTCGCGAGCATCGGAGTAACAAGGAAGTATTTTTGTTTGTTTTTTGAGGTTTTTTGCAATTTATTGGTGTTATTGCAGGTAAAAATATGGCAAATTTATCAAGTAGAGACCCACAGCAATGGCTGAAATGGTATAATGAAATGCTTGACAGTGACGACGAAGAAGTTTATGGTGAAGATGATCCATCGGAGCAAGAAACAGATAACTTGGAAGTACAAGGTGAATGTTCAGATACGGAGCAAGAGTCTGAAGAGGGAGCTGATATTTCGAATATAATTGAAGAAGATTCTGTAAAAAACGGTGGTCCATATTTTTTGGGAAAGGTTAAAGAAACTAAATGGAGTAAAAACAAACCACCAACGTCAAGAACAAAGGCTCATAATCTTATATTGAAAGTTCCAGGGCCAGTAGGCAACGCAAAAAACGCCAAATCCTCGATGGACTGTCTTAGCCAATTTATTGATGATTCAATGATTGAAATCGTTGTGAAATGTACCAATCTATACATTGCAAAGATTCAAGCAAATTTCGATAGAGAACGTGATGCTAGATTGACTGACGTATGTGAGATAAGATCTTTTATAGGAATACTTTATTTGGCGGGATCTTTGAAACCTGGGAGGCAGAATATTCGGACATTATGGAACACAAATGGCAATGGAATTGAAAACATATATATAACAATGAGTTATAATCGCTTCAGATTCCTGTGTAGAAGTATCAGATTTGATGATGTAAATACTAGGGAAGATCGACGTATGTATGACAAACTGGCAGCGATTAGGGACATTTTTCAGCGATTTATGAACAATTGCCAGTCTTCAGTGATACCAAGCGCTTTTCTAACCATCGATGAACAACTGGTTGCCTTTCGAGGAAGATGCGCCTTCAGGCAATATATACCTAATAAGCCCAGCAAATATGGAATCAAAATATTTGCATTGGTCGATGTCAAAGCCATGTATACATACAGGTTAGAAATATATGCAGGTAAACAACCGAACGGGCCGTATGGTTTGAGTAACAGTCCTGGAGTAAAAAGGTTAGTTGAGCCTCTAAAAGGTACAGGTCGTAACATTACAATGGATAATTGGTTTTCCAGTGTACCTCTTGCTAGGGACTTATTGAAAGATAAATTTACTATGGTTGGTACGCTCAGGAAAAATAAAAGAGAGATTCCATTAGAATTCACACAGACTGCTTCTAGACCAGAACAGAGTAGTATGTTTGCCTTTCAATCAGATCTTACTTTGCTGTCTAACGTTCCAAAAAAAGACAAAAATGTATTGCTGATTTCATCAATGCACCACGATGACGAGATTGATAGGGAATGCTTGAAACCTGAAATAATCCTGGAATACAACAGAACTAAATCTGGAGTGGATGTCGTAGACAAACTTTGTGCCCAATATGACCTGGCTAGCCTGACAGTTTTATTTGACATTCTAAATATTGCTGGTATCAACGCACTTTGTCTATTTGCTATGAACAATAATTTTAAAAAACCAAACAGAGAACATTTCCGGCAAGAGTTAGCTGCAGAGTTAGTACGGCCACAAATAATGAAAAGAATATATATGGATAATATCCCAAGAAATATAAAGAAAAGGGCTATCGCTTTACTGAACATTGAGGAAACTACTCTAGCAACAGACAAGGCTACTACAAAGAAACAAAAACTTGGAAAGGGTAGGTGTTATTTATGACCAGATCAGCTGATAGAAAAACGCCAATTACATGCGTAAAATGTGTCGAGTGGATATGTAAAATTCATCAAAATTTCGTATGCCGTAATTGCCTTGATAGCAGAGAAATAGAAACCAATTGTGACAGCGAATAGATGCTTTTGCCATATTATACCTTCAGGGACCTGATTTGTTAGTTAGGATTTTATATAAATATTATGTTAGCATTTCTTTCGTAAGTGAATATTTTTTGTTCTGTTATAAAAGCATTTAGAAAAATTGTGTGAATATATTTTTCAAAGAAAAGCTCCAACTATTGTTTTATTTAAATTAAAAAACACAAAAACAGGTTGGGGTACCTCAGTACCCCACGCGAGTACCTACGTGATTTTCCCCGCGCGAGTACTGGAAGGTTAAATGATTGGATTGAAAGTATATTTTTTCCTAGATCAAATTTGCTTCTATATTTTCGCAAGTCGTGATATCCTAGCAGACAATCATAATTGTGGTGCCAGTCTATGATTAGAAACTCTGTTTCTATAGCAAAACCTAAATTATTGAAAATTGGAATTTTACAAGCATATTCTCCTATTTTAGTATCAATAGCAGTTTTGATAGTGAAATTTTTGTGGGAAATGTTGAAAAGCTATTTGTGAGTTTATCAGCGAAGCCGAGGCTCCAGTATCGATTAGAATTATTAGGTTCAAATTAGGATTGTAAATATAAGGTAAATGATTTTCTTCATTGTAATTATTTAAGTCGAGTTTGTACTCGTTGGTTCCATTTCTAAAAAACGAAGGATCGTACGACTGCTCGTTGTTTTCATAGTTTTCTTCATACGGTTGTTCAGTTTGATTCTCAATTTGTGGATTTTCTACTTTAGTTAATTCTTGTACAGCAACACTTGGTTGTTGTCCGTTATTTGAAAAGAAATTGGGTCTGTGAAATGGTCGATTAGATTTTATAGTAGAAGTAGACATCGGTGTTGATTGGTTAGAATTATTTCTAGGTGTTTGGAAATTATTTTGCACTCGATATTGAGTATTTGGATTAAATGGTCTAAAATGGTTATTAGTTCGAAAATGATTCTGAGGTTGTCCTGAAAATC